CCATCAACAGATGAATGGATCAAGAAGATGTGGTTTATCTATACCATGGAATACTACATGGCAATGAGAAACAATGAAGTCTGGCCATGTGTAGCAACATGGATAGACCTTGAGGGTGTTATGCTGAGCGAAATAAGTGAGGCAGAGAAGGACAAATATCATATGTTTGCACGTATAGGAGGATTAGGAGGAACTTGATGGAGGACCAAGGGGGAGAAGAAGGGGGGAAATAGTGGGGGAGAGGGAGGGAGGCAAACCATGACAGACTCTTGAATGCTGAGAACAAACTGAGGACTGATGGGAGTGGGGTGATGGGTATGGAGGAGGGCTCTTGTGAGTATGAGCACTGGGTGTTATGTGGAAACTAATTTGACAATAAACTATTTGTAAAAAAAAAAAAAAAGAAAGAAAGAAAGAAAGAAATTCTCCAGAGTCAGAGCCTGTCTGGAACATAGCAAATATTCAAACATTTTTCACTGAGAGAAGCAATGCAGTAAATATAGAATTAAATATATAAGGACAGCTTGGGACAAATATTCTGAAGAGCTAGAGTAGACTATTTTGAGGGAGAATAGAAGGAAACTTTACAATTATTTTTTAAGTTTATTTATTGAGAGAAAGTGCAAGGAGGGGAGGTGCAGAGAGAGAGAGAGAGAATCCCAAGCAGGCTCAGCACTGTCAGCCCAGAGCCCTACGTGAGGCTTGAACTCACAAACCATGAGATCATGACCTGAGCTGAAATCAAGAGTTAGGCGCTTAACCGACTAAGCCACGCAGGCGCCCCAGGAGGAAGCTTTTTTAGAACGTGAAAGTTAAGAGGTACATGGAGGTGGAGGGGAAAGGTGTTCTAGGTGGCTGAACAGGGTGTGCACAGGTCTGGAGGTGAGAAAGAGCCCGTCTGCGGCCCACACTAAGGGCCAGTGTGCCTGAAACACGGTGAGCAAAGGCAGGAGTGCAGTGATCTGGGGGCGGGGCCAGATCACACTGAGCCCAGACAGCCATGGAGAGCGCTGGGGTGAGCAGGCAGGGGGCGCAGAGTGGAATGCCATTTCACAGAGGTGGACACTGAGACCCAGAGTGACAGGATGAATTCCCTGGGACCTGCAGACAAGGCGGTATCCAGCGGGACTCAGGTCTGTCACTTAGCATCCCAGCCTTCCCGAATAACATCAGGCAGGAGAGCCTTTCTTTGGTTTGGGGGGTGGGATCTTCAGGCAACCTGTGATCAAATCCCTCAAGAGGGGTCGGCAGGGTGTCCTTCACTCAGGGCCCTCAAGGCTGAGGGCTGAGAAACCAGCCTTGTTTCCCCCAAAGCCAAGCTGCCCCAGCCCTCAACTCCCAGCCTGTCCTCTCCAACAGCCACCCCTCCCCCCCAGTCCTCTTCCACACCAAACGTGCCCTTTCAAGCACAGCGTAAGGCATGGATTTTGTGGACTAACAGGGATCGATGATTTTAATGGAGAGGATTGAGTTTTCAAGATCTCCTTTTGGGAATTTTCCAGTGGGTGGAGGACTATCTGGGGGCAACCGGAAATTAGAGCCCATGGTCAGCACTGACTTCTCATTCCTCCCACATGGAGGCCAGAGGGTGGATCCCACTGGTGGTGGTGTTATTGGAAATAACATAATGATAAGGGGGCCAAGTTTTCAAAAAAGAGGAACAACCCTAAATGTGCACATGCAGAAAACAACGGAGCTTCCAAAGGCAGGAAGCAGAATCCCGGCAGCCCTGTAAGGTGGAAGGAACAGATTCGTGATCGGGGTCGGCACTCTGGTCTCAGTAGTGGAGGGAACAAGGACACTGAGTCAGCGTGTTATTATACAGGATGTTATGATTACTGAGAGCTTAGTGTTGTCAGGCTGGGTCCCAAACTCTTGTGCCTTCCCGTGTGGCCAGCTCAGCAACTGAGAGTAGGCATGATTATCGCCCCCACTGAAGGGAGACCTGAGGCTCAGAGGGGCTAAGCTGGTCACGACGTTACCAGCCGGGAGCAGAGCTGGTCTTTGAACCAAGGCCTGTCTGACTCCAGAGCCTAAACCTCTTATCTCCATGTGGTGCCACCTCGTGGGTACAGGAATAGGGCTGAAACTAGGGGACCTCAAGTCCTCTGAGAGCCCAGCTCTGCAGAGGTGGAACGGGCCTTACCCATCCAGCAAGGTGATTGAGATGGTGTCTGAGTCGCTGCGGCATTGTCCAACGACCACTTTGGGGAGGCCAGTCTGGGCATCGGTTTCAAGTCTGATGTCAGTCAGGAGGTTCAAAGAAGCCTTCAGGTTGGCCAGTGAGAGGCCTGCAGGAAAGAGATTCCCAGTGAACAGAAGTCAAGAAGGCCTGCCAAGCTACCTCTGCTGTGGGCGTGCCCTATTCAGGATGTCTACATTGGTGTCTACATTCTTATGAGACTGACATATGTACGTTAGGGGCTTCTTCGCCTAGCCACAGGGCTATGGTTCTCAGGGCAGGTTTATACAGCACCCCTGTAATAATGAAAATAAAAACAATAGTTAACATTTATCGAGGGCAAATGATATGCTAGGCACTTCTAAAATGCCTGGATTAACCCATGTCATCATCACACAGATGCCATTAGGGAAAACCCCTATTATCTCCATTTTCAAAATGGGGAAACATTGGTACAGACAGGCCAGGGAACCGTCCCAAGATCTCATGAATGAATCCAATGAATCATGGAGCCCTCATGTCCTCAATTTATCTGCTTCCACACATGCTCGTTCTCCTGTCTATCTTTCTTAAAGTAATTAATATACTTTAAAATTATATTTGTCACATATCCCTTTCATTATATAGTGTGAAAGACTAGATGCATTAGGCACAATGGTCCTTGCTATTCAAAGAGAATTTCAAGAGACCAAATCATGCTGGGGGGAATTTCGCCAAAGACTCATGAATGCTCATGTCTTCTCCATTTTTCAAATTTTACAATTAGATAAATGTTATGATTTCAGAAATATTTGTTGGGAATTTCTTTTTTTTTGTTGTCAGAATTTTTTTTTAAAGAGACTTGGTTATGGCCAAAGTTCATTAGAACCCTTTAAGGGTTCAGGTTTTAGAGCTGGAAAGTCTTCCTCATATACAGATTGGGAGACTGAGGGCCAAGGCCACATAGAAGTCTAGCAAAGTGCCTGATTCTAGAAAATTTGGAAACCCACTGGCCATGCACTGCCACTCCCCACTCTCAGATTTGAATGCATACTCACAGTGCCAAGGTGACATTAGCGGTGACAGGGACCCTTATGGTAACACCTTCGCCGTCAGGAGTCAGTTCAATTTTGATATTCAGAATGCTGTAGTTAAGGATGTTCAGGCTCTACAAAAACCACAATTTCCCTTTGTTATTCCTCGTGACAGCCATGCTTCTTTGACGCCAGCACCATGCTAAGCGTTTGGGCCTCACCCTTGCCTTCTTTGGCCTTCACGGGAGCCCTGTTCAGAAGTTTGATCCTCTCCATGTTATGGCATCGCAGAGTGAGGCTGAGACAGATGTCATTCCCCTCACAGATTCCCAGGAGGAAGAAGTGTCAGCATCAGATTTTGAACCCATAACCATTTGACTCCAGAACTCTATGTGTTGAGCCAGCTATGTGGTGTGAATTCCAGTTTTCTCTCTCTTGAGGGGATTCAGACTTTTATCCTCAGCTGTATTTGGAGAAGAAAAGTCTTACTCCTTGGAAGAGAGGCTTCAGGCACCACCAGCAAGCAGGTGGGGGTGAGGATTAAGAGGACCTTCACCGGGATCCTGAAATTACGGAATGTGGAAGCCCCAACCCACGAGATGCCCGGATTGGCCCCATGGCCCTGTTTCTAATTTCTCAAGCTCTGATGACCCTGGCATCAGACTGCCACAGCTCTGAATGGAGGAATAAGGTTTACCCTCCTTTCTGTTGTTGATCTTAAATTCACCTCCCCAGAGATGTGTGTTCCCTTTTCTTGAAGCAAGCTCTCCACTTTGAAGCATCAACTCACCCAAAATTCCCGTTAATTGAAGTGGTGGTAGAAAGAGCTTCCAGTTCCTCAGCGTTAGATTCCTGAAGCACCCCTAAGTCAGCCTTCAGTTTCTGAACGAAAGCTGACAAAAACAATTGCCATTGAGAGTTAGGTGTCATTTACGGAGCAGTGACCATGTACGAGGCACTAGGGAAGACTCTTGCTTATGTTATTTTGTTTACTCCTCATAACAACCCAAAGGAGGTAGATATTGTTATTATCTGCATTTTCAGATGAGGAAATAAAGGATTAAAAGGTTAAGAAATGTGCCTAAAGTCATGCTTCTGGGGAGCCTTTGTTCCTTCCATGATGCCTTCATACTAATATATACTCATCATTCATAACCAAAGCAATCAATCAATTAACCAGGCAATTGATATTTATTGTATATCATCTCCCAGCTGAGGCAGGTGGAGGGTGGTCTATTGTTCTAAATAAGATGTCACACAATTTTGAAAAGCTAGGTCAAACAAAATGAGAGAATGAACTAAGAAATGGAAAATCCAGAGTCAAGGGGAAAGTGTGGCTCCAATTCATAAACGTGCCAAATGGGAATTTGAGAATGACAGCTTTGCAGTACGCATTTAAAGGCATTAGTAAAGGAGTGCTGAGTGCCTCAGTTGGTTAAGGATCCTACTGTTGATTTCAACTCAGGGCATGATCTCACAATTTGTGAGATCGAGCCCCACGTTGGGCGCTGCACTGACAGCACAGAGCCTGCTTGGGATACTCTCTCTCTCCCACTCTTTCTCTCTGCCCTCCCCAGCTCCCCCTCTCCCTCTCTACCTGAAAATAAATAAACATTTACAAAACAAACAACAACAACAAAAAGAAATCGGAATAAGAAGAGACATAATTAAATATGAAGGTAGGTAACTTTAAAGCTATCTAGGCTTAGGGGTGCCTGGGTGGCTCAGTCAGTTAAGCATGTGACTCTTGGTTTTGTCTCAGGTCATGATCTTGCAGTCTGTGGATCAAGCCCCGCGTTACAGCTGTTAGCACGTGCTCTTAGCCTGGAGCCTGCTTGAGATTCTCTCTCTCCTCTCTCTCTGATCCTCTCCTCCCTCCCCACTGAAATGTATGTGTGTGTACTCTCTCTCTCTCTCTTAAAATAAGTAAATAAACTTAAAAGAAAGCTACCATGGCTTAGGGCTTAGGTGTGGGTAATTCCCAACGAATTGATACAAACTAATTAGTAAGCTGAACAACCTAGCAGAAGAATATGGTATGAATATGAACAAAATATGCTAAAACATGCAAATAGCTAATAACATACCAAAAAAATGAATGAATTCCTTAATAATTGGAGAAATGCAAAGTGAAATGAGTTATAATCTTTTGTCTATGACATTAGCAAAACATTTAAGTTGCCCATACCAGTGCTGTCAAGGGAGGGGGGAAAAGGCACTCTCCCAAGACTAACGGAGAGAATGTTAATGTAAGGGATTATTTGCCAAAATCTGCTCTAAAATATGCATACCTTTTGAACTTTTGAAATCTCACTTTTAGGAATTTATCCTATGGAGATATTAGGAAAGGTTTGCCATGATGTCATGTGTAAAAGGGTATTTATTTGAGCATTGCTTGTTCCTAGAAAAATAATAAGTGAATGAACCAGGACCTGAATGGCCACCTTTCTCAGCAAACCACTCCTAAAGAGCATCCCCTGGTGGCAGGCTATGGTAATGCAGGGATAGAATTTAGGCCAATCATCGTGATTACTCACATTCAATTGTATTGTCAACGGTCTCAAGTCCTTTCTCCACAACGGGTTTCAGCTTGTTCACAACATTACTCAGGTCATTGCCAAGATTTCCAAGAAGGGACGCTGAGGTTCCAGTGAGCAGGCCACACAAGAGAACAAGTTTCCAAAGCTGAAGCATCTTGTCTTGGCACTTTGACACCAAGAGGAACAAGAATGAGAATTACCCAGAGAGAAAAGGATCATCCTTGTTAAGCACCTATTACTCTTACACAACATTCTTTTAAGATAGATGTGGTCATCTTCTGGTTTATAGATTACAGCAACCCAGATCAGAAAGCTAGAGCAACTTGCCCAGAGACACACAGCCAGTGAGTGGAGGAGCTGAAATGTGGCAAGTCACACCTAGTTCCAAGTCTATGCTCTTTATACAAAGGTCCTTTGCACTTGCTAGCTCCTCTGCCTCCTTGTCTTTGCATATTTACCTAAGCATAGGGGATTTGGGAAATAGAATGGAAACACAGTGATGTGATAAAAAAAACAGAAACAAAAACAAACAACAACCATGAAAAACCCGAGGCACCGGGGGGCTCAATTAAGTGTCCAACTCTTGATTTCATCTCAGGTCCTGCCTTCACAGTTCATGGGTTTGAACCCTGCATTGGGTTCTGCACCGACAACATGGTACCTGCTTGGGAGTCTCTCTCTCTCTCCCTCTCTCTCTACCCCTTCCCCACTCACTCTTTCCTCTCTCTTTCAAAATAAATAATAAAATGAAACTTAAAAAAAACTCCTTTAAGACTCATAAATGACTTGGCTTTATTGGAAAGTTTCTCACAGTAGAGTTGTGTCGTATCCCAGGACTCTCGCTACGATACTCTTCACCATAAATTGAGAGAGCCTGGAAACCTACACATAATGCTAAGAACAACCTCACTTTAACACCAAGAGAATGGGCTAGCCCAGAAACCTATTGGTAATACCTTCACTATTGAATGAGACCTCCTCATAGCTGACCACAATAGTGAAATATTTGAGGAACCCCATGACAGTAATCTTCCCTATGGGGTAGGATATCCAAGGGACCCCACAGCACTGATCATTATGGAGTGAGCGAATCTCTTGACAATGCTCTGCACCACACGGTAGGTTAGTTCAGTAGCTCCCTCTTAATGCTGATGACTGTGGAGTAGGCTATCCCAAGAACTCCACTCATGCATTGATTACTATGTAACGGGCTACTTCAGAAAAATCTATAACAAGAAGCACAATGGAATAGGAGAACCTAGAATTCCAATCTACTGTTACTCACGATGGAGTGGGTTATCTCAGGAACCCCACTGTAACACTGGCCACTATGGCATTGGTGATCCAAAAACCCAGAATCCTTGAGAAAGGACTGCTCAACACTGAAGAAGGCAGTGAGGTTGGAGGGCAATGGGGATGGAGATGAGAAGAAAAAACTTACTTTCAATCAGCCAGTTAATGAAAGAGGCTGGGAAATGTTTGTCCTGGGAAAACCCAGAAAGCCTCCATAAATTGAGCAGCATCTGCATGCCAGGCCCTGAGCCTCTCATTTGATCCTTACGACAAACTTACAATACAGAGAGTATAGGCAAAGAAAAGGAGACTTGGAGATGTGCACAACTTTGCTGAGGCCTTACAGCGAGCTGGTGGCAGAGCTATTCCTAAAATCTGGACTCCCAGCTCTGACCCTGGGCAGTTGAGTGCTGGCAGGCATGGGGGTGGTGTTCCCAAAGTAGCTGAAGGTCCTACTTTGTGGACTCAATCATATTCCTCATAATCAGAACTTCCCATGAGTCGGGGTGCTGGCTGGACCATGTTTATGTTTAGAAGCAGCTCAGAGGGGAGGGATGCAGGAGAGGCCACCTTGGACCGACCACTCCTCCACCATGGACCACTCCTCCAGCAGGGACCCCACATATTGTGATGCTACATAACTAACTTGATTGTTTAAGTGTTTAAATCAAGGGGAAAGGGGAATCAACCACTAAGTTTTGAATCCCTACTCTGCTGGACAAGTAACCAGACATCTTCTCATCTAATCATTATACTATAGTTCACACATGTCAAGATACCATTGGTTAAGATACACATTATCTTAATGTACCACTAAGAATGTTTTTTAATTGCCAACTAGACCATGGCATACCATTGAATATATGACACATGCCAATTTCAGAAATGTTACAATGTGGGGGGAATGTGTGTCTTGGAATTGAGGATCTATGATCACTTCATATGGGTCTGATAATCACTCTGATCTGATAGATGAGAAAAGTGGGGCATGGAGAGCTAAGGACGTCTGACCAAGGTTGCACAGGCAAGCGGAAGCCAAGCCTGCCTGCAAAACCACGGCACGTGTGCCTCTCTTGACAGGCAGCTGTGGCACATTTGCCTGGCGAGGAGACCGGTGAGGGGGCGGGGTCACCACCACGCTAGTCTCAGGTGTGTGAAGGTATGGCTAATCTCAGAAGATGCTCAGGAGAGAACTCGCTGCTTTTATCTGAAAGTCCAGGCAGTAATAAGGCTCAGACGGCGTGGGCACTTGTGTGAGAGCAGAGTAAAGGCTCCTAAATAATCCCAGTGAGTGGACGTCTGAAGGAGAGAGAGGGACAGAGGTGGCAGTGGGAGGACAGAGGAGACACAAGAGATCTAATTGAAATGCAGACCTGTAAAACTTGCTTTATCCCTGCCATACACAGACTTATCCAGAAGGGGGAGATAATTCCCAAACCGCTGGAAAATACATCGTAGCCCCAGAGCCGTATCATCCTCCAGCACCAAGAGAGTGGAGCATTCTTAACTTGGCACATAGTAATCTGTCCATCCATCCTTTTGTCTGTCTGTCCATCTATCCATCTGCCATCCATCCATCTATCCACCATCTTTCATCTTTCCTGCTTCTCTTATATCCATCTGTCATTTTTTCCTGTCGCTCTTCTATTCTTCCATCTATTCACCCATACATCTAAATTCCCTTTCCTTCATTCTTCCTTCTTTCCATTCTTTTTCCATCATATTCTGTCCATACCTCCTTGTATGTATCCATCCACTTATCCATTCTTCTATCCACCCATGCTTCATACATGTTTTCATTTTTCTATTTTACTATCCATTAATACTTCTGTCCCTTGCTCCATCCATCCATGTCCCCCCTTTCATTACTCCAACAAAGTATATACGGAGTGCCCGCTCTGTGCCCAACCAGGAGCTATAAGACAAACACAAGAAAGATTACGAGAGTCCCTCCCCTCAAGGAGTTCTGTTCCAGTGGAAGAAACCCACAATTACTACACAATATGATAAGCATGAAGGATACATGTGCACAGTGTCAGGGCAGTCCTGGGGAGGGAGTCATTCCACCTGGAGAGATCTGGAAAGGCTTTGGAGAAGACAAACCATTGGAGTCATAACTTGCAGGGGTGTGGGGTTTTTTTTCCAGGCAGAGGGAGGATGGAAGAAGCAAAACTATATTCAGAGCAGAACTATAATGTGTGCAAAGGTCCTGGAGTGTATGGGGTATCTGAGATCAGCTGGCTTGAGCGGCAGGAGGGGGACAGAGGACAATAAGTCTGGAGCAGGAAAGACCTTGACTGCCGGTCTTGGGGGTTTGAACTTGATCCTCCTGGTAATGGGGAGCTACAGAAGCTTCTGATCAGAGGTATGATTCAGGAAAATCTCTCTGGAAGCCATGAAGGGGAGAAAGCAGAAGTGGGTGAGGTGGCTACTGCCACGTCTTAGCAACACAATAATGCTCAGGCCCACGGCACCTCTTACTTCTCGGGACGCTCAACTACTGACTGATGATGCACAACCAGAATCGGACCACTGGGCACAGCCGAGATACAGATAACCCGAGGCCTCTGAGACAGGAGGCTGGGGCCGCCCTTCCAGCCAGCCCAGTCCTGCACCGGCCGGGCGCAGCGTGGAGTGATTTTATCAGAGGCTTTTACAAGCACAACACAAAACTTCTTCCACAGGTGAAAACTGCTTGACACACATTAGTCCTCCGGTGAGTGTCCCTTTCTCTCCCCGTTTCCCAGCACTGGGGGTGCCGACAAAGGACAGGGCAGCAGAGTTCTGGGAGGCTGGAGAGCCCAGGGAGAAAACTACCTGTGGACTGCCTCCCCTACCATGGCTGTTCCTCTGCACCTCAGGCTGACCTACGGGGTCTGCCGGGCCCCCTTTGTCAAACTCACCATGTTGGGTAAGGAGTTCTGCAGGGCTTGTTTCAGCCTGGCTTCTGTCCCTGAAGAGAGCAGACTGGCAGGGGACCGGGGAGACTTAGAATAACAACAATTCTGGCTGATGGTTATAAAATGTTTCTATCGGCTCCAAAGACTAGTCTCAGCACTTGGCAAATATTAACTCAAATTACCATAATAATTAAAAACCAGAGATTGTTTGCTCCCACTGCCACTACTTCCTGGTGTGTGATCTTGTCCAATTGACACAACCTCTCTGTGCGTCTCGTATGTAGTATAGAAAATAAAGTTCTGGTGGTGATTCAGCAAGTGAAAGAAAGAGATGGGCTGCAGGGCTACCTATTGTCAAGAGGGCGTCTACAGCTTATAAACAGCTTACATCCCTCGTGACTTGCTTTACGGTGCATAGAAGTCATTTCTTCTCAGAAACCATGTTCTAAAATAGTGGTTGCCGAGGGGCCCACAGGTGTGTCTTCTTCTGCAAGGACAGTCTTTTAAAATTTTACAATGAATTTTCAGAACTGAAAACATAAGCAACTTTATATAAAAACCCAAACTTCCAGTTTCTGTTTAAGATTCAGAAATCCGAGGAGACTGGGCCCGCCTTCCCAAATGGCCACAGCCAGCTGGAGCCAAAAAGGGACTGTCTTCTTCAGATAAGACACATAATGTCCAGTTTGCCATCGTGCCCACCACTCTCTGTTGGATCCCTAAAATTGAAATTGAACTTGTATGTTGTATTTCTCTTAACTGGAGCCCACTTACTGATTTATGCTAACTTCCTACTCCGAATGGGCATTTAAGTTTATGATCTTTGGTCTGAGGTGTTGAATTCGGACTCTGGGAGGCAGTAAGGGCCACAGACAGCAGGCAGTTGGGTTCTAGGCCAGCCTGCCTGTCTTTTAAAACCCATGTTCAAGTTCATTCCTGAGTTATAGCACCTGTTTGTGAT